GGTGTGGGTGTGTGGGAAAGATATCTGTTTACTCCATATTTATTTCACTGCCCTTTGATGGAGATGGTCCAGCTAGTTCTCTAAATTTTATCTCCAAGAAACTATGTAATTATTTGTAGCTTTACTGACTGTCTCCTTTTATGAACCTCTTTTTTCGATAAAACATTTTATTTGTATTTATTCTTTGACTAACAGCATCCGTATGGTAGTTTAATTGCCACTTTGTTCTATGCTGGCTTATAATGTTCTTAGAGATACTGCACTGGTATTTTAAGGCCAGGCTGGAGGAATTAAGTAAAATTATGGATGGAGAGTTAAATGAAGAAAACAAATATGTAGACAAAGATGATATGGATTTGGATGAAAAAAGCAAGAACAGAATTGGTGAAATGGATATTGATGAAGGCTATTGCCAAGGGAAGTTTACAGAGAACAACCAGTTGGTGAGGAACATTGGGAAAGTTGTTCTTGATCTTAGAAACCTTGGGTTCACATCAATGGCTGAAGATGCTTATGCTTCTGCTATCTTTTTGCTTCTCAAGGTGGGAATTCAATCTACCATGTAAATATGTTGGTCTATCTTCTGTTATATTACATTCTATATTCCTATAAAATTTTCTTTATGCTAATAGCATGCTTTCTCTGTTTGAGTAACAGGCTAAAGTACATACTCTGGCTGGCGATGATTACCGGAATTCTGTTTTGGATTCCATTAAAGGGTGGATTCAGGTTACCTTAGTGTTTGTGAATGCTTTCTTTACTTCTTTATCCAATATAACTGTTAATCTCACCAATCATGTGGGCTTGTTACCTTTGAATTGGGGAAAGAACATCATTGGTCTTTGAATTTTTTTATTTTTGGCCCAAAACTGTAGGATTGATCTTTAAATTGAATGTTACAAGTATATTGGTCTAATACCATTTTATTGTGTTCATGCTTGGAATGACATGACCACAATTTCATGTTTATGAATTTCAGAATGTTTTTTATGCCAGGGTTTTTTTCTTCTTCTTTTTTTTTTTTTTTAATTTGGCTTCTTAGCTTACTTGCTGTCTTGTGTAGTGTAGCATATGATATTATCATATCGCTGAGTGCTGGTTCTTATGCTTGTGGTCTTTTGCACAGGCTGTGCCTCTGCAGTTCTTAAATGCTCTTCTTTCTTACCTTGGAGAGTCTGGTACTTTTGAAAATCATTCATCTGGTCTTAAATCACCTCTGGCTTCATATCCATCTTCATTCTATCCTGGAATTGATACTCCATTTGAAAGCCTTATTAGGTGGAAATTGCGGCTAGAGTATTTTGCCTACGAAACACTGCAAGATTTAAGGATAGCCAAACTGTTTGAGATAATTGTGGACTACCCAGAGAGGTAATTTTTCTTAACCTTTGTCAATTGAACTGGTAAAAAGAGATGCAATCTCTTTTTTGCTTCATTCTTTTCTCATATTTGATGGAGGGTCGATATTGACAAAGGGTGTGAAATAGGTCATCTAAAGAATCTAGAATGCTAATAATTTCTACTGTGCTCATTTCCTGAATTATGACTTTTATGGGTAATTACAATACAAATTAAGCAGCCTTATTCTATTGGTAAACATCATTACCCTCAAGAGCCGTAACTATTGAACTAAGTATTAGGAAAGTTATCAATCATGAATATGCCATAGCTGCAAAAACTTTTACAAAGTTTCATCTGAATTAAGTTGTACTGTAGACTTTAATCCAGTTCATGGTTCTGAATCTCTGTTATATGCATTATCATTAAGTGATTGATATTTTAGTTAAAAAAGTTACGAGTCTGGTCTCTGATTCTTTTTCTGTGTAGATAGGCATCATGTTATGGTGAATGTATTGCTGAATTTGTGAATGATTTTATGTCCTTAAAATGCTCTATTTTTCATTCTTTTTTTTGGGGTGATATTATAATGATTTTTCCATTAGAAATGGTATTTTTATTTCTACTAACAGTGAAGCAAAACAATGTGACGAAGGGATTATCTAAATTGTATAAGGTGTATTGCCAATGTTTTTTGTTAATTGGATGAATGCAACTTGCTGGTGGTAGTTCAAAATTTTTCCTGGAAATTTGCATATTTCATTTGATTGCTTCTGTGTATTGCAGCTCTCCTGCAATTGAAGACTTGAAACAGTGTCTTGAATATACTGGACAGCATTCTAAGCTGGTTGAGTCTTTTATTTCTGCATTGAAATACCGCTTGCTAACTGCGGGTGCCTCAACTAATGATATACTGCATCAATATGTTTCAACTATCAAAGCACTCCGGACCATAGACCCAGCTGGTGTTTTCCTTGAAGCAGTTGGTGAACCAATAAGGGAGTATTTGCGAGGAAGAAAAGATACCATAAAGTGCATTGTCACCATGCTTACTGATGGAACTGGTGGGAATACTAATGGGTCTGGAAACACAGGGGATAGCCTTCTTGAAGAATTAAATAGAGATGAAGAAAATCAAGAGAATGTTGGCCTTGATGATGATTTTAATACTGATGACAAGCAAGCGTGGACTGATGCCCAATGGTATGTATTAATAGTAGAATATGTCTAACTTGTATACAAATGTAAATTACCTGTAAATAATGGGGTCAATTTTTCATATTTACTGACCTTGTATCCCTGCTGGGTTACTTTTTAGCTGGGAGCCTGATCCTGTTGAGGCTGATCCATTGAAGGGTAGTCGGAATAGAAGGAAGGTTGACATACTTGGGATGATTGTAGGCATAATTGGTTCAAAGGACCAACTTGTTAATGAATACCGTGTTATGCTAGCTGAAAAGCTTCTGAACAAATCTGACTATGATATTGACTCAGAGATACGTACTTTAGAACTCCTCAAGGCATGTCACTTCATTCTACCATTTCTCATCTTTTCTTTATTTGAAAACCTCCTCCTAAAAATATTTTTCCCCTTTATTCTTCTTCATTTTTTTCTTTTTTTTTTCCATTTTCAGATTCATTTTGGAGAGAGTAGCTTGCAAAGGTGTGAAATTATGATTAATGATCTGATTGATTCCAAGAGGACAAACACCAACGTTAAAGCAACCATAAGTAAACAATCTCAAACAGGTATTCTTTCGTTTTGGTGAACTTTTAACCTGAGGGGATACCTCAGCTCACCTCATTTGAATTTTCTTGTTGTAACTTTTCTATTTCACTTCTCATCTTTAGGTTCTGAGATGGTGGAGACTGGGGTGTCTCTTGAAATTATTGATGCTACAATAATATCTTCAAATTTCTGGCCCCCAATCCTGGTACGGGAAACAATATTCACACTCGGTGATTTCTGTCCTCTTTATTTTTTCCTCTTTTTTTTTTTTTTTGTTTCTTTTTTATATACAACTTTTAGAAATGCAGTTTTATACTGATAATTGGAAAAGTATGGTTGTAACTGCAAAAAGCAAAATAAAAGTACTTTAACATTTTACTTTACCAAAGGAAATAAAAGTACTTCAGACATAAATGTGCTAATAGAGTGCAGGGAGAGAGAGGATCTGAGACCCTCAAGTCTTAATTTCTTTTCTCAACATGTTATTGTTCTGTTTATATCCATTCCTAGTTCCAATTTTTCATTTTCCTTTCCCTTTCTTTTTTCACCTTTTAAGTTATTATGTATGTTGATCTATAAAGAACAGTTGGTAACTTAGCATGATGATTTAAAAGGAAAAAAAGCTGCAATAATAATATTGCATTTGTTAAAACATGTAAAAGAGAAGCTCTAACAAATTTGTTAAGTGGAAATGCTTGTTCCAACCTAAAGTGGATCATAATGTGTTATATAGATTTTATATTGTTTACTGTATTTTGAAATGTACTTGTGGCCTTTAGCATGTCTATTTCCTCACTAAATCAGCTTCTAGTTATATATCATCTTTTAGTAATCCTTCTCACTCTACTGTTAACCTTGGGAAAATTTCAGGATGAGGCACTTATCATACCTGAGCATGTTGACCACTTGCTCTCTGATTATGCTAAAAGGTTTCATGAAATCAAGACCCCTCGCAAGCTACTTTGGAAGAAAAATCTTGGTACAGTCAAGGTTAGGTGTTTCAAAATTTAATTCTTGCAACAATATGATGGTCTATTAGTAAATCTTAATATAATCTTATTAAATGTATGTTCAGTTTCTGTCTCTTCCTATGCATCACTGAAGTAACATTGATGATTTTAATCATATGTCCACTGTTACAGTTGGAGTTGCAATTTGAAGATAGAGCCATGCAGTTTACTGTGGCTCCTGTTCATGCTGCAATCATTATGCAATTTCAAGAACAAACAAGGTATTTTCAGGAATGATTTTGGATAGACTCAATTTTTTTTTCTACTATAATGGAATTTTTGTTTTCTGTATTTAGTTGGACCTCTAAGAATCTTGCTGCTGCTACTGGGATGCCAGTTGATGTGCTAAATCGGAAAATTAACTTTTGGATAAGTAAGGTATGTTTAGTAACCTCATCATAAGTTCCATAACCAACCTGTTTCTGTTGAATATTTGAATATGTTTCCCCTCGGGACTTCGTAGCTTTGATGGAAACCCCTGCCTCATCGCTTTCCTATTCTCTTGTTATAGCCAAAAGTGTGTGCCACTATAAGATATAGGTTCCTAAGTTAAATTTTGCAGGTGAAAATCTTTCACTCTATGATTTCCAGCATTATACTACAGTCAATTTATACTAAGGTTCCTCAGCTATGAAATAAATAATGCAATATCATAATTATTCGAGTTTCAAGTAGTTCCAAATTTTTATTTTGATTTTATTCTTTGGCAAATTGTCCAATTGTAGATGTGAAATTGTCATTTTCTATGCAAGAGGGTAAAAAATCACGGCCAAAGGAATAGAGTAAAAGTCTCACTATTTCAAATTTGGTATTTATAGAAATTTCCCTTATTGATAATGATATGCAAATCTTCAGCAGTCAATATGAAAGTTTTATTTAGATGTCAAATACCAATTGATTATTTTCAACATACTGTGTGTCTAGGGAATTATCACAGAATCACTAGGGACCAATCCTAGTGACAATTTGTTTACTCTTGTGGAAAGCATGGTTGACACAAGCAAGAGTGGCAGCAATAGTGGAAATTCTGAAGAGCTTCTGACAGGTGATGAAGAGGGCGAGGGATCTGTGGCCTCTGTTGAGGATCAAATACGTAAAGAAATGACTGTCTATGAGGTATGTGATATAAGTGACATTCTTAATAATTGGCAGGGGCTGAAATGGTGAAGTAGCACCCCCCTGCTTCCCCAAAATAAATATATAAAGAGATATCTGTTTGTAAAGAGTAGTGGGCCCCACCAAATGAATAGTCCATAATCTGACCCTGCTACTTGATGGATGAACCAGCCTATTTATGATTTAGGGATTCATTCTTATTTGAACATAAGATTCTGATTTCAAAGTGCACATATTCAATAAGTCTTTTCCATGTATATCAGTTACCTGAGTTATCGTTTCTCTTGGGTCATGTTAGGTTTGATAGAATGGCATACATCATGGTTTTTGCTTGAAATTACAGTAGATTAGGTGAAGAGTATGGGAAAGTAGGAATAGCTATTCCACGTTTGCACCTATTCTAACAAGTGAGAATGGTTGGTAAAAAAATAAACCTAGGGTGGAGGTGGTAATAGTTATTCCGACCTTATCCTAACTTTTATTAGAATTATGCAATGAGGACCATTCCCACTCTATTTTACCTTATTTTCATGTAAAAATGCTTTACTTCAAAAATCTGGCTCTACACCATTCCATGCCAGCGTAACTGTTGAAAAAAGTGTTTACATGATAATTGATATAATTTTAATTCAAATTGACTTAAGGATGCCTGAACATAGGTTGAATTATTTGTGCTATTTTGCTTATGGTCTACCTTTCTAACTGGAATTTGACTTCTTTTCTTTTTTGTAGAAATTTATCATGGGTATGCTCACAAACTTTGGCAGCATGGCATTAGATCGAATTCATAATACGCTAAAGGTAAATGGTTTAATATGATCTCCACCTCTAGTTGGAATATAGTTAATATGAATAATGATTAGTAATCTGAGACAGATCATTGCTGCAGATGTTCTGTGTAGCTGATCCTGCTTATGATAAATCACTCCAACAGTTGCAAAGCTTCTTATCAGGTCTAGTGTCTGAAGAGAAACTAGAGCTGAGAGACGGAATGTACTTCCTGAAGAAGTAAAGTAGCTAATTTAGACCCAAAAAAAAAAAAAGAAGAAGAAGAAAAAGTTGACTAGTACAATTGTGTCAGTCAGCCTACTCGATGCAACGAACAGATATTGCTATTAAGGTTAGTCTTTCAGAAAATTAATGAGCAGTTTAATCTTTTTGTATTTGTATTTGTGTTGGTCGATATGATCTTGCTGCAGAGTTCGTCATCCATTTTAAAATTGCACGTCTTTTGCTAAATGCGAAAGCTATATTTCTCATCGGCTGTTTGAAATCACAGGGAAAAAATGCTAGGATCTACTGGAGTTTACTTAGTCATCAGCAGGCAAACTACTTACATAGGCAGCTTTATTTGTAGAGGAGCATTTTGCCCCATGAGTGTGTTCAAAGTTCTAATCATTTACCAGAAATTAGGTTACATAGCCACACTTTGTGGGATGACCAAAAAATATACACCTGTTTCATTAGGACAAGAGGGAATTTTAAATGAAATTAAAATATTACAAATTAATTTGAAGAGTTCAAATCATGGTAGTTCAAAATTATGTAATAGAAATGTTGTAAGTCACTAACTCTTTTATCCAAACACTCTTGGTCGTAAATGAGAGTTAATTAGTTTTTACTTAAAAAAGATTAAAATAAAGTACTCATAATGTTTCTTTGATCTTAAGAGTAAAATTTAAGTTAAAAGATTTGAAAGTTACAATCTAAGTAATACTATATTTAATCTAAATTTATTAAATTTTAATTTTAATAATAAATTTTTTAAAAAAATAATAAAATAATTACTAAATATATGAAAAATGAAGACCCAACCCAAAACGCAGAACTGTTTACCAGACTTTGTATTTACCAATTCTCATTTCTTTTGTCTTTTAGAGGTAGGTCTAAGATTGGGGTATTTATTTAGTATAAAATAGTGCATGTTAGTCTCGATTTTATTTTAAAAAATTGAAGCCTTAACTTCAAAAATATCACTATTTAATGAATATTAAAAAAAACTAACCATTATACTTAACATTTTATTGATATAAATCATGTATGTTAGTTTTTATATTAATTTAACATTTATAATTATTCAATCAAGAAAATAGTATTTTCTAACAAGTATTTAATGGTATTAAATTTTGTATAATTAGTGAACTAGTTAAATATATTTCATCAATATAAAAATTAAAATGCAAAAATTTACATAAATAGAACGATAAATCTAAAGATCGATTTTTAAAATTGTTTATTGGAAAGTGTTGTTTTTGAAGTTGAAACTTGAGACTCAAGCGATATTGACTGGACCAGGAGCACCCCCTCTAGTAAAAGCTTCCACAGCGGGTTGACCAATATGAGGATCCCAAATTGCATGAGCAATCGGCCTTACATGTAAAGGATCCTGTACCCATGCCTCAAAATTTCCTTGCCAAGCTACATGAAAGAGATTTCCGGAAGTCTACAGAAATATGATTGCTAATTGCCCGAAGTGAGAAGCAAAAATATTCTGATAAAGATGTTCCTCAGTAATATCATCATGACTCTCGAAGTCATGCGCGGTAGCAATACCAAACCAAATACGACGAGTAGTGGGGTCCTGAGCTAAGCCTTGGCTAAAGCTTGGAAATCTTAATGCCATAATGCCTTTCAAATCCTCCTAGCCATTATCCTACTGCAATAATTCTTGCTAAGAAGAATGCCCATGTTGTGGCAATTCCACCCAGAAGGTAATGGGTTACTCCTACAGCACGTCCTTGTACAATGCTCAAGGCTCTAGGCTGAGTAGCAGGAGCAACTTTTAATTTATTATGAGCCCAAACGATGGATTCAATAAGTTCTTGCCAATAACCACGTCCGCTGAATAGAAACATTAAACTAAAAGCCCATACAAAATGAGCACCTAGGAAAAAGAGACCGTATGCGGATAATGAAGAACCATAAGACTGTATTACCTGGGATGCCTGTGCCCATAAGAAATCGCGGAGCCACCCATTAATAGTAATGGAACTCTGCGCAAAGTTTCCTCCGATGATATGAGTTACGACCTAACTTTTAATGAAAGTCTTGAGATTAATATGTACCATTCTTTCTACATTTAGAATCAAAAGTAATTTACACTAATATAAGTTAACTAGTAAATAATACTTCGTATAATTTATTGATTAGTGTAAGTTATACTAATGTAAGCTGATCTAATAAACACACATACTTTCTCTCTCTCTCTCTCTATATATATATATATGTGTGTGTGTGTATGTATATGTAGAGAAGATGTTTTGATAAAGATACCAATTTTATTGTTTTTATTTAAGAATATGAATTTTTTTAGTTTCTAAATAGGACAAGGTTTTAACTTTTTCCATTTACGAATATTAATTTTGAGTTTTTTTATTTAAAGATTAATTGGATAGCTAAAAAAACCATTTGTCACATTAGCATCACCATTCAATTAATCTTTAAATGAAAAAAATACAAAGTTGACATATTTAAATAAAAAAGTTAAAAGTTTAATACCTATTTACAAAACCAACAAAGTTCATATCCTTAAATAAAAAAATATAATAAAGTTTATATCTTTATTTGCTTATTTTTTCTGAATATGTATGTATGTTAATATATAGAGAGAGTGATGCCGATTAGTTATGACTCATAAAAGAATAGAGTACTAACTTCAAAAACATTACTTTCTCATGAATATTTGTAAAAAATGTTAAATTTAATAATCTATTGATATAAATTATGCATATTAATTTTTAAAATTATCCAACATCTACAACCGTGCGATCAAGAATTTGTTTTTTTTTTAACATATACTTAATTGTGTTATATTTTGTATAATCAGTAATTACATATTAATTATACAAAATCTTACAACTCTATCTGTATTATGAATGGTTGAAATATTTTATGAATTTTTTTTTTTATAAAAAAGACAATTATTTTTTAAAAAAATGAGGTAGAAAGCAAATAAATTTTAACCATTTATAGTAAAAAGATGAATGATTAAGATTTTTTAATAAAAACTATATGTAAAATTGTGTGTAAGTAGATCTTAACTTATATATATAACTAAGGATTCACTTATATATAAATCTTACGCATACATATACAAAGAATTTCAACCATTCATTTCAAGAATTTCAACATTCATTTCTTCACTTTCAATGATTGAGATTAATTTACATTTATTAAAGATAATTATCTTTTTTGTTTAAAAAATTGTGATAAATCTTAACCATTGAAAGTGGAAAGATTAATCATTGAAATTTTATATAAGTGTAGTATATAAGACTTCTGTATAAATGGATCCTTATTTATATATATATATATATATATATATAGAAGTTAGTGTTTTTCCTCCTCACCTCTCAAAAATTAAGAGAAAAATCAATGCAAAACTATATCACTTCAATAAAGTATCAGGAAAAATATGGTATTTTAGTTTATTTCAATGAGAGTCTATTGAAATAATGTAATTTTAAGGTAATTTTCCTCTTAATTTTTGGAAGGATAAACAGATAAGTACTATTATTATATATAAGTAGAAATTCACTTACACACAAGTCTTACATACTATATTTATATAAAATCTTGAATATTTATCTTTAATAAATGAGATAAAAAGTGAATCAATCTTAACCACCGAAAGTAAAAAGATGAATGGTCAAGATTTTGCATAAGTATGATATATAAGATTTATATGTAAGTGAATCTTTACTCTCTTTGTATGTATATATTGTTTGTCAATGGCTACCTAAAGAAATTTATGAACCTAAACTTGAAAAGTAAGTAGTTTTGATAAACACTTTCCAACTTTAAATAAAAACTACATAGATTTAATAAATACCTTTCAACGCCATCTTAAATTTGGGAGCTAAAGCATATATTTAACCCTTATCCTTTTTTTTTAGCCTTCGTCTTATTAAATTTGAAGCTTTTACTCTTTCATCTTACACAATGGAGTTTTTAGCTTTTGAATTTAAAAGTTTAAAGATTTTAACCATAAACTAACGAAATTTGTTAACTTTCCATTAAAGTGAGAATAAAAAATTTAGAAGCCTAGTCCTTAAAGATTAAAAAGGTGATAGTTAAGTCCCAAAATTTTAAAAATTAAAAAAGTAGTAACTAAAAAGAAATTAATGGATGACTTTGTCACATACACAAAAACCATATTAGATATATGCAATTAAATTGAGCAATAAGCTTAATTTGACAAAAGAATATTGATTGATATTAAAGAAAATTTCTTCACTAAATTAAGACAGAGAGTCTAAAAGACCAGAAGAATAATTCTAAATGATGGAAGAGTACGATTAGTCTACTTTGCTTAGAAATTTGATCTATCACTGTGTAATATTACACTTCCATCATTTGGGTTTTGTTGGAACTATTCTAGACAAGCATGCCACTAAACCCACAATTTGAATTACTTTATTTTTAAATTAATTATTGTTTTTTTGTGTTTTTTTAGTTTATAACAATTACAAATTTGTTTGTATGGGATAATTATTAAGGTAGTTTTTATAACTACCCTTAACAATTACAAATTTATTTGTATGGGATAATTATTAAGGTAGTTTTTATAACTACCCTTATTCGTGTACTTAAATATTTTGTATAATGAAAATTTAGTGTGGCTTCTACACTCAATCACTCATTTTTTAGTTCCATATCATTCAATTGGTATTAATTCATTTTTTTTATCCATGAGAGATTGTGAGGTTTAAACACCAACTTTTGAGAAAAATCAAAGTTGCGACATGGAAGCAAGCAGCAATTTCACCACAAAGGAACTTGTTTTTGTGGCCAAAATTATCAAGTTTGATCAATTAATATGGAGGCATACCTAAGAGCATTTGACCCTTGGGATGTTGTTGAGCATGGTAATGATCCACCTCTTTTGTCTAAAAACACAACCTTAAACTAGATAAGGCATCACATAAAAGAAGTGATAGAAATACAAGGTACTAATTACTATTTATTCTGTAGTGTTTGAAGAAATTTTTGTTAGGATTATGACTTGTGAAATGGCAAAGGAAGCCTCAAATAAAGTCAAGGAGGAGTTCTAGGTAAATATATAAAGGCAAAATAGATCCAGGTGGTTAATCACATAAGGAAATTTGAGGTTCTCAAGATGAAAGAAACAAAGGTTGTAAAAGAATTTTCTAAGAGGGTGATGAAGGTGATAAATCATATTAGAATACTCGGTGATGAATTTATAGAGAAAAGGATTCTAGATAAGGTTATTACAAGTTTAGTAAAGAAATTTGAGCATAAAATTTATTCTTTGGAAGACACAAAGGACATGACAAACACTTTTTAAACTTGTAAATGTGCTTCAAGCTTTTGAACAAAGGAAAGTAATAAGGCATAAAGCTTCTATTAAAGATGCTATTGAAGGTGCTTTAGTTTCAAATGAAAAGGCAATGGGTCAATTCAAAAAGGGTGGTGAAGAGGAACAATTTTTTTGATAGAAGAGAAAAGGAGAAGCAAGATTTTTAGACGGACTAACAAATCAACATTTATAGAGGTAAGAAAAAGCAATATCCTTTGTATCCTCATTGTTGAAAGAAGTCTCATATGGCAAGTTATTGCTGGTTTAAGTCTAGTGTCAAATGTAGGTCATGTTAGTGATTTGGCCATCTTGTAAAGGTTTGTGAAGCTAAGGCAAATCAATACCAGAAGGTCCAAGTTATTGAGAATGTGGATCAAAAGGAAGAAGAGTTTGTGGTTGTTGTGGTTGGGATCTGTTTATCAGTATTTTTTGGTTCAAATTCTTAGCTTATTAATTGTGGGCGCAGTCATTATATAACCTCAGTTTTGGCCACTTTCAAGACTATTGACAAATTCTATTCTTCTAAAGTTAAACTTGGAAATGGAGAGCTTGCTGAGGTGGAAGGTAAAGGGACAATTATTATTGATACACCAACAAGTATCAAGTACATTTGTGATGTTTCATATGTGCCTAACTTAAGCCAAAGTGCATTTTCCTGATGAATGTGTTGATATGTTTGATAAACTAGGTGTCAAATTATTTACTGCTAGTATGAATCATAAAAGTTGTGTTGCTTGGAACTAATATGAAATTAAAACATATGCTACTATTGTAGATAAGTCTGAGAAACGGCATACAACATTTGGTCATCATAGTTGTTCTTCATTGAAGTTGTTGCATAACAAACTTATGATTGTGGATATGTTTGTGATTCATGAGTTTGACAGTGTATGTGGTGTTTGTCAAAAAGAAAAGTTGAGCAAACTTCTTTTTCCAGTGAACAAGGCTTGAAGAGTTATAAAAAAGTTTAATTTAGTTTATTTTAATATTTGTGGTGCAGTACAAACCTCATTAATAAATGATCACAAATTCTTCTTATTTTTCATTGATGACGTTAGTGGAATTGTAACACCCCATATACTTTAGTAAATAGATTAGAAATTAGAGTCTTTTATTTTAAAGTTTTGGGGATTAAATTGATTAGATTTAGAGTTTGGGGGTTGTAAATGAAACTTAGAAGGAGTTGAAGGATGTTTTACTCAATTATTCCAATTTTTTGCCAAGTGACACCATATCTAGCAAGTAAAACTATTTGCTTACACTTAATAAAAAGCCTCCCAAACCATTCCTCTACAACTTTCCTTCTTCTTTTAGTCGGTCTTGCATCCATCTTTCTTTTTGCAGTAAGGAGAACATTTATGCTAAAACTGCATGGGGATGCACCTTCTAATTGAAATTCTTTCAATTTCTATGTTTGTCTCAATTTGGTGCTTTGATTTCCATAGGTAAGTATGAGTTTTAGCTATAAATTCGGGTTAGAGTTTTGGGTAAATTATAGATTTTGCTATAATACACTAAAAATTAGTTTAAATTAGGGAAATCTGACTCTAGATCTTTTTGTTCAAGAGATTTTTTTGTATTAGAATTTTGTTTAGAAATATTTGGATTTTTGGGTATATGTACGATCTTGAATTAGAAGTGGGTTTTGGTTTTATGCTTGAATCTTTTGTGAATTTTATTGGTAATTACTTCTTGTTGTTGTTTTGATATTTTTTGTACATTTATGTGAAGACTTTTGGAAATTTCATGATAAAGCAAAACCTGTGAATGCTTGATTGGAGTTTGGGTACTGCCCATGACTCATGGCACTTGAGTAGTGGTTGATTAATTATGCATTATTGCATTGTTAAAATGAGAAATCAATTTCAACTCCTGTGTGTGAAATCTATGGTTAGCATAGGATATTTAAATTGAATTGCTTTAGAAATGCAATTGATCAAGTGAAATAATAAATGAAATAATATTCTTATATTGTTTTGGATGCGTTGTGAATTTGTTTAACATGTGTATGTGTTTGCAACTATGGAGTGAGTGGAGCTAAGCTTAAAACTTGGGTTATTTAGTGGACCCTTCGAGGTATTTAGTGGACCTCTGCACAGTAGGATGAGTGTCATGATTAGCTTCGATACAAGTGTTGCTAACACACATCAGTGGACTCCATAACAGTATGTGATTTTTGTTTTATGCATTCTGCTTGTGACATTACATTGGTGACCATATGGTTTTATGATATGAATTTGATTTAAATGTCATTGACTATTTCTTGACGTGTTTGATTATCTATGAATTAATTTGTGATATTAAATTATTATTTAAATAATGAGATTTATAATATTATGTGGCTTGGTTTAATTGTCCATTATGCTTTCCATAGGTGTAGATCTAAGTGTAACATCTCATATACCTTGGTGAATAATTTAAAAATTAGAGTCCTTTATTTTATAATTTTAGGGATTAAATTGAGTAAATTTGAAGTTTGAGGGTTTTAAGTAGAACTTAATAGGAATTGAAGGGCCTTAACTCAATTATTCTATTTTTTTTTTTTTGCGACATGGCATTATACCCACTAGGATCCATTAGGTTGGACTTAAAGATAAGTCCCTAGAACCCTCCCGAACCCACCATTCCTTTGTGTTTTTTTTTTCCTTCTTTTAGTCGTCCCCTGTATCTTTCTTCCTTCTTTTTCCAGCCAAGATTGGGGTGTAGGGGCACACTCTCCACCTTGAATCCATTTCAATTTCTACTGTGCTCTTTGATAAGGTGCTTGATTTTCAAGTAAGTATAAATTTAGTTATAGATTTGGGTTAGAGCTTTGGGGGAAATTATGGATTTTGCTATAATATACACAAAAATTATTTTAAGTGGTGAAATATGACTGTAAATCTTTTGTTTACGAGATTTTTGGGTATTAGAATTTTTATTTAACAAAATTTGGGACTTTGGGTACTGGTACAATATAGAGCCAGAAGTGAATTTTGGTCAATGTTGAAATTCTATGTGAATTTTTATTAGTTGATTACTTGCTAGTGTTATTTTGATATTTTCCTATACATTTGTGATGAGACTTTTTGGAAGTTTCACAGGAGGTACTGCCCGTGATTTGTGTATTTGAGTTTTAATTGATTAATTATGTGTTAATTGCACGGTTAAACTAAGGAATCAATTTCAATTTTTGTTTTAGTAAAATCTACATAAGATAATTGAAGTGGATTGTGTTGGATATGCAATTAATTAAGTGAGATAATAAAATAATATTCATATATTATTTTGAAAATGTTTTGAAATTATTCGACATTTATATGTGGTTGTGGCTAAATGGATCCAAGCTTAAAGCTTGAGGTATTCACTAGACCCTCTAGGGTATTTAGTGAACCTTTGTGTAATAGAAGGAGTACCATGATTAGCTTCGGTACAAGTGTTGCTAGCACACATTAGTGGACTCCATAACATTATGTGGATTTTGTTTTATACATTATGCTTGTGAGCATATGGTTTTATGATATGGATTTGATTTAAATGTCATTAGTTATTTTTTGATATGTGTGATTATGATTTGGGTTATTAAAGTATTATTTAAATATTAAGAATTATAATATTATGTGGCTTGGTTTAATTGTTTATTATGCTCTCCATATGTGTAGATCTAGGGGTCTTAGGACCCAAATTTGTAGTTTAGACTTAATACTTATTGGGCTTTTAGCTTATGATATTTCTCCCATGTCAAATCTGTAGGTTAGAGTAACAGTCACCAGCTTGGGAGCTTCGACAGAGGTCTTGTATGCTCGTTCCACATAGAAACTAGGACCTCGTGCTTTCGATATGGAGGCGAATCAATGTGTTACAAAAACGATTATTCAACTTTTGTTATTTTGAAAAGCTTTAGAGAAGAATTTACCTTATATAATTTTTGTGTAAATTATTTTTATGTATATAATATTTAAATTAATTATAAATGAGTTTAGCCTAGTTTGTTTTATAATTTTATGTATTTTGACATTTTCTTAGGATACATATATTGATATTTTTAAAAAAAATAGTTTTCCTTTACAGGGATATGATTTTCTTTTTATAAAATATTCAATTGATTTGAATGCAAGGTTTCTTTTAAGGAAACATTTTATATTAGAAGTGTTTCTACTTCTACTGCAATTTTTTTTTTCTTATTATAATTTTTATTTTAGGACCCCTCTAAGATTAAGGATACTTATAAGATGTGTGTTATACTAAGGGTCCTAAGACCCAAGTTGGTAGCTTTAATTTAATAATTACTGGGTTTTTAGCTTATGGTATTTTCCTCGAATTGTAGATCAATAGATTAAAGTAGCAGATTGGAGAAGTAGCCACTCAATTTGAGAGATTTCTGTATAAGTCCCATATACTCGTTATATGTAGGAGCTAGGAGCTGAAGGCTTTTGATGTGAAGGCGAATTAATGTGTTACCAAAACGATAATTCTGCTTTTATTATTATGAAAAGTTTTTGAAAAGCATCTACTCTCATACAATTTTTGTGTAAATTGCTTTTATGTATGTGATATCTAAATTAGTTTTCCATTTACAAGTATTCTTCTTCCATTCTTTATATTTTATATGATATGTAAATAGGATTTTTTTACAAGGACATGTGTTATATTTTAGGAACATTTTATTTTCGTTGCGTTATTTTTTTTCTAAATTTTCTAGTTAACCACTCCCACATAACCAATGGTACCTAAGGGAGGTGTGTTACATGTTTTGGTATTAAAGCCAAAGTTTTGTTAATACATTGATTTGCCATATGGGTTAGAGTCTAGTATCATAGGATTAGATTTTTGTCTAACTATTAGTTTTTGCATTCTTTGCTTGTATCAATATTAGAGGAGAGATGAGTCAAGATGCAGTACTTCTACTCCTACCACTACTGATGATGTGAATGCTAGAAAGGAGTAATGAATAGGTTGAAGTGCATGTGAAACTAGAATGAGATTTAGTGTCTGACCATGAGAGAGGACTGTTAGAAGCATTTTATAATGTGTGCTGAATGTTTTGCTGGGGTACTAGTACCACACTAATATTTAATCCTGATGTCGCAGAACAAGAATTAAAAATAAAAGAGAAAGGGAATTATTCTCTTTCATGTGAACATAGGTAGTTAGTAAGTATAAGGGGACTTGCTAAATCTAGGCAAAAGCCCTTAGAAGAATAATGTGATTATGTTACAAGTCAAAGACTAAAAGGTATCAAAATTTTATCAATTACTTAAGCCTTTTAGGATGCAAGTAGTGAATTTGCATAGCTGAATTTTTGCAAGTAGGAAATAATATGCAAAGATAGAGAGTTAGGAAAAAGGTTGAACCTTCAATGTAGATATTTGTTATAGTACGTAGTACATTAGCTAGTAGCTAGTAGATGAGTTAAAAAGGGTTGGGGGGAATAAAGGGAGAACAGTAACATAAAGGTGCTAGATGCTAGAATGGAGGTTGAATACATGTCATGTGTGAGTTAACATTTGTATTGTCCTCTTTATCTTTGGTTGCTTGAAGTTTGTTATGTTATTTTAGGCCTCATTAACATATAGAGTCTATTGTTGAATAATATTATGTGACTAGAATTTTGTCATGGTTGTTTAGTCTATAATTAAACTAGGTGCAAATCAAAGTGAAGTATTAGGTATTGATGTTTTTTAGTATTTATAACCCTTTAGTATTGGTTATAAACTATAGCTAAAGGGTTGGATGACCAGGCATGCTTTGTATGCTTTGGTGATTGTGTGCTTATCAAATGTGTCTACTGTGGATTATGCTAAGCACTAGGAGAGGTCAAATCAGTATCTAAGTTTATGATTAGTTGAATTATGAACCCTATTACAAAGTATAGGAGAAAGAAAGAAATAATAGAGTGGAACCTATTGTTAGCACATGAAAGGTGGTATTAAGGAACAGTGAGAAATTCTTTATGATTAGAAATTGTTTATGATTATGATCTAATTGTCCCCTGCTTTTATTTCAAAGTAAAGAATATTTGTGTTAGGATTTCAAGAGGAGTGTGATATTGTCAATTTATAAACTCTTGTTTTACTTAATGCCAGTTGAATAACTATAGAGTTAATTGGCATAAGGATATCTTTAATGAAGATTGATTGCATTTTAGAATAATTTGGGACTGTGTGAAGTGGAATAAGTGTTGAAAGTTATTCTAGTATTTTATGGAGGTGTTAACTCAGACTTCCTAGTTTAGTATAATCAACTAGTGTTTATAGAGGCATTCCTTGATTGAATTATAGTATATAAGGTTGGTTGTACCTTGTTGCTTATAAATATATTAGTTAATGTCAAATGTTCAACTTCATGAGTTGAAAGACATGGATTGAATTCTTGTGATGTACAAGAATTTTCAGTTAACAGATGTGTCACGTCCCAGAACCCAATTCCGAGGACGTGGCAGATGCCGTGCACTCGTGAGAGGCTCCCACAAATGCACAAGACTCAGAACTTATCATACCATAATCTGATACCACCAAAATCTGAAGATAAAATTATAAAATTTTTTCTAATATCATAAAATCTTCAAATAAAGTCTAGTTTACAAGATCACGATTTATATCTAAAATCTATGTTCAATTTACAAGATGGCTAGCCTTTTAACTCGTCACTCTTCTCGTTTTTCCCGGTCCTTGACTTCGCTTCCTGAAATGGTGGACAAGGAAAAACTATGAGATAACTCGGTAAGTAAATACGGATAGCCCTTGGGTAAAATTTTTTAGCATGCCTGATAAATAATTTAACATAACAAAATGTTCAATGATAAACCATTAATACAAAATCAGATTCAGTTCAATAACAAAGCGTTCAATGACAAACTGTTAATGCAGAAGAAAATTCAATAGTAGTCTCATTTATAAGTCATGGCCGGCGTTTATAAATCTCCCACTAGTAGGCACAATAGTAACCAATGTTTTATCCCATTGGCAGGATTTCAGTAATAACCATTGTATTATCCCATTGACAGGATTACAAAATGAATCGGTCCTATCAGTAAACATGTCGACATGTCCTAACGTTTATAAACCTCTCACTAGCGAGCACAGTAAATATAACACACCTCCCTTGGCACTCTTAGTCCTAGAAGAGTTCAAAAACAAAATTTATAGTAAAGAATTGCAGCGGAAGTAAAAACACTTATAATATAAAATACTTCTTCAAAAGAGAACCTGTATTCGGAAAATCAATTTTATAAAAGAATATCATATATATATTGGAAAATGCAAAAATATTCAAAGTTATAAAATAAACTAAGTTAAGTTTATTTATAATTAATTTAAGGGTTTTATACATAAAACTAATTTACACAAAAATTATATGAGGCAAATTCTTCTTCAAAGCTTTTCAAAAAAACAAAAGCTGAGTCATTGTTTTGGTAACACATCGATCTGCCTCCTTATCGAAAACGCGAGGCCTTAGCTTATATATACAACGAGCATGCGAGTCCCGTTCCAAAAGCTTATAAACCGAGAGGTTGCTACCTCGATCTACTGATTTAAAATGGGGGGGATTTTATGAGCTCACAGCCCAGTAAGTAATAAATTTAAGCTATAAACTTGAGTTCTAATATCTTTAGACCTATCCACACAAAAAGCATAAGACACAATAGAATCAAATCACTTAATATTTTAATTCTCACTATTTAAATAATGACTTAATGTCTCAAATCATAAACACAAATGTCAAGTAATAGTCAATGACATTTAAATTGAATTCATATATTAAAATCATATGCTCACAAATACAATATCACAAGCGCAATGCATAAAATCGAAAATCACATAATGCTATGGAGTCCACTGAGGTGTGCTAGTAACATTGTACCAGAGCTAATCACGGTACTAACCATATTGCGCAGAGGTCCACTAAATACCCCGAAGGGTCCACTGAATACCCCAAGTTTTAAGTTTAAGTCCACTTACTTCATAGCCACAAATACATACGCATGTCAAATAAATTCATAATATGTCCAAAATAATATTAGGACTTCCTATTGGAATAGATTAAAGCATAATGCGTGAACAGTAATCGTGAACAGTAATTCGCAAATAGTACAATTTACTTATATTTCCTGCAATCAAAATTCACACCCAAATCAAACAATAAAAAGGACTACCTCACTATCTTTTCCATATAAGTCCCAAAATTAAGAATATTTTTAATAAAAGTTTAATACCCAAAAATCTTATAAACCAAAGGATTAAAGTCAAATCTCACCAATTTAAACTACCCAAAACTTTAACCCAAAATTCATAACTAAAACTTATACTTACCTAATAAAAGGAACCTTAACCTTGGTGAGAGAAAGAAGGAAGAAGGATGTAGGTGGAAGAGGAAGGTGTAGGAAACAAAATGAGGCTTTTGGGAGCCTTCTGGAGGCTTATCCAAGTTTCCACCGACAAAGACCAAAAACTTGGTTGGGAAAATGCCATGTGGTAAGTAAAATTGGAATAATTGAGTTATGGTCATTCAATTTATACTAAATTTTACTTAAAACCCCCAAACTTTAAATTCAATCAATTTAATCCCTAAAACTATAAACTAAAAGACACTAATTTTTAAATTATTCACTAAGGTATGTGGGGTATTACAGTAAACATGACCATATCAAAGACAAAACCATGCAAGATTTATAAAAGAAATTTGTAATTCACAATCAATCTCAAATTTCAAAAATAACCAGAAAATTCCATGTGGACATGGATTTAACAGAAAAATCAGAATTTACAAAATTCTCAAATCATCAAGGCAATTAAGCAAATTGCAAGTAGGCATGCTTTACTCAATGAAAATGAAAATAATTCTATTTCAAACCAATCATGCTCGGTTGTAACAAAATCAATTTAAAATCAATTTAAAACTTAGCACCATCTCAAAACAATTTAAAATATGCTTTGAAATCGAAGGGTATTACTATAATTTTACTTACCTCAAATCGCATAAAATTGGAAACTCAAGCCAAGTGCTCGGGTGACAGAACAATCCCAAATATTCAAAAATTAATACCCATATGACCGGACATCTCAATTTTATTCTCAATATAACTACACATTTAGACCCTCCTATTGTTGGGTAACTGAAACTTCCAAAAATTGGCAAAACCATAGTTAAATCTCACGGGATTTTCTCCAAAAATCACAGCAGCCAAAATAAACTAATTTTCTACATGAATTAAGCTAAATCATGGTCTAATTACTGTTAAATTTCTCCCTTATTTCCAGCAGAAAATTCGGACACATAGGCAGCAATTATATGGCTAAATTTCAGCAATTAAATGGGTAAAATTTGGACTTAGAGAAGTTGCCACATACCACAATTCTTCCAGCAAGCAAAATTGGAGCTGGTGGGTTGGGGAAGCCGATGGGATCTGCAGGGGAAACTCACGGATCTACCTCAAAATTGAAGGAACAAGAGGAACTTAGAGTAACCCACGTTAAATTCAAGGAAGAACAGAGGAAATAGTGGCTGTTTCTTACCAGAAACCAGACCAATTCGCCCCAACAAAGCAGGAGCAGCAGATGGAAGAAACACAACAGAGCAGAACCGGGATTTTTCTACAAGGGGGAAAGATTTCTGCGTTCAATTTCAGTTTTAGAACAAGAAAAGAAGGAGAAATATCCAAACTTTCTACCGGTTTCCTTAAGAAAATTGTTGCGGGCAGCTTGGATCCTTTTTTTTTTTTTTTTTCAGGTTGCAACGGAAAGAAGAAGAGTAGAATCGGGCTGAAGAAGAAAGAGGAAAAGGAGAAAAAAAAAATCAACCATCCTTATCCAAATTCTTTCCTCTTTTAAGTCCCTCAAGTTTCAAAACTTTCACTATTAGGCCCCAAAACAATATTTTCTCTCACAAAAACCCTTACTTAAATGCTAAAATATCACAAAATTTTGGGATATTACAAGATGCTAAAGTATGGGATGTCTATCGTATAACGATCCTTAAACTATGCTTAAGAAGAGTACCATATATATTGTTTGTAAGTGAAGGTTATGAATTACATGACATGAGCTTACTACTATTTGAGGTTGACATGCTCAAGAATACTAGGGAAATCCTATAAGCTACATGCTATTGGAAATCTTATTTGTAAGTTCTAGAGAGATGATGATCTTTTGCCGATGACTAAGTAAAAGGATGTTCCTAAAGTTATTTGGAACATTGTTATGTATGTGTATGTGTGATTTTTTTAATAAAATTACAAGGCTTAGAATTATTCACAGTGAGCAAATATTAGCTTAAATAAATGTATTCCTTTCTTATGTCTGTGTGAGAAAAGGATGAATGGTAGAAAAGTTATTACTTCTGCTTAAGCTTCTGTAGCTATTAGAATGAAAGCAATACATGAAATTATTTTAGATTGAGCACCATTGTCAAGGGATATCTGCATACTAAACCAAGAAGCACAAAATAGTCCTTATAAGGATTTTTATAGGAGTGAAGGCAAGTTACCTACCTATTTTAGAATTATAAATTCTGATGTTTGTTGTTTATGTTGCATTAGGCTTGTTATGCACTTGATTTTAAAGAAACCACTTTGGATTGTACCTTTAATGAGAGAATTCAGGTATAACTATTTTTTGTAAGCTATTTTAATATGTGTGTGGATTTTCATCGTTAATTCTAGATTTTCTTATTTATTCTCCAAAGTTTTTATCAAGAGTTATTTGCATAAGTTAAAAGTTAAAAAAAAAAAAAGTTTAAGAATTGACTCACCAATTTTTTTTTTTCTCATTTTTTAGATTTCTCTCGGACTTGAACATTTTGTCCAAAATGTTTGATGTGGTTTTAGGTGTGATGTATTCAATAAAGGAAGTTTATAATTGAAACCATATTAGTTTCTAAGTTTTCTTAAACACATTACTTTAAAGTTTTGATGTTTAAAGTTTTCACCAAGTTGTTTTTACAGTGCATGCATGTAATTGTAAAGAGTTTGAAATCATCATATCGTAATCTGTAATTGCAATAGCCATGGGCACATCCTTTGTAGGGAGGACTGAACTTCCTCAACTGACATTTAACCTTGTTTCTGTTGCTACCACAAAAATTAGAATAGCTAATTTGTTTATTCCATCATACATATATGTAGAAGAAAACTAAGTTGGCTGTATGTATTTTGAATGGTAAGATAGACTATGAGTCTGTTATCCAAGAAAGAGTTAACAAGGAGAAGTACAAGTTATGTGGATAGAATTTGTTTATGGTTCCCATAGATTGTTATGAGATTATGGAGTAATAATCTGTGATAGAGGAAGAAGATAGCAATGAGATTTTAATAAGAGGATAGTAGATTTAAGCCCAAAGCTCTGCCAAATATTGTTCTATATATCTATATAGCTAAGGTGAAATTTTAAGAACAATGAAGAAATTTGGGGTTAAGCACTTCATTGAGGAAGTGGTAAAAAATGTTGGTTGCCAATAGGTAGTAGAAACTTGAAGGATCAAGATTCTATTTTTAAAGAAGATTCAGATTTGGAGGGCCAAATCCTTTTTAAGGTGGGGAGGATTTAACACCCCATATTTTAGTGAATAGATTAGAAATTAAAGTCCTTTATTTTAAAGTTTTGGAGATTAAATTAATTAGATTTAGAGTTTGGGAGTTGTAAATGAAATTTAGCAAGAGTTGAAGGATGTTCAACTCAATTATTCCAATTTTTGTGTCAAGTGGCACTATATCTATCAAGTAAAACTATTTGTTTGCACTTAATAAAAAGCGTCCAAACCATTCTTCAGCCACTTTCCTTCTTCTTCCAGCTAATCCTGCATCCATCTTTCTTTTTGTAGTCGGGAGGATAGTCATGCTAAAGCTGTATGGGAACGCACCTGAAATCCCTTTCAATTTCTACTGTTGGTTTAGGGGTTAAAATTTTTAAACTTTTAAATTAATAGTTGAAAACTCTATAATGTAAGGTAAGACTTAAAAACTTCCAATTTAATAAGGTAAAGGCCTAAATGCATGCTTTGGCCAACTTGGTGGGACTTAAATAAAATGATGTAATTTTGACATTGAAGACTGTAATTTTTTTATTATAACTAAGAAACACTTTTCAGACATACATTTGAAATAATGTTTATTAATCGAATATGTAGAAAAATATGTAGAAAAATATTTTTAAAATATGTTATTTTAATAAATTACTATTAAAGAAAATTATAATAACCTATTTTTAAAGTAAGAATTAGGCTTTTTTAATGATATTTTATTAAAACTACATAATTTTAAATTATTTTTTTGTCTAATTTTTTTATAAATTCAATTGATAAATATGAAATTCATACATGTGTATTGGAGTGCTAGTAGCTCTTTAATCTCAAGCACTCATGAGTTGTATCAATTTGTAGTATTGTCATAAGCACAAAAATAAATCTCTTATATTATCATTGATTTATTACATTTGTTACTATGTATATATATTTTGATAATTTAATTTTTTGATAAATTAAAATTGTTTAATAAAAAATTTTGAATTATTATTTATGTACGGTAAAAATGTATCACTTTTAAATAAATGTTTGAAATGAAATAAAAGTAGCATTTAAAAATCAAAGTAACGTTGTAGTATCGTATATTATTAACAATATTAATTATTAGGATAGTGATATATAGACACTTTTTTTTATATATATATATTTTTTATACAACTTTTATATGTTATTAAATTTGTAGATGTATTTAATATTACAGGTCTTGAATAAATAAAAAAAGTTATATAAAAATATTTTTCTCAAATTATTTTCTTAATTATTAATAATATTAATTCTCACCAATAATCTATTAATTCAAATAGAAGGGGCTCAATTCCTTTTAAATAAGATTTCGAATTCAAGTTTTGTGAATAAAGAAATAGATATTCGATATTACTTGACTCCAAATTAGTTTAAGGCCAATATAGTTTTTGGATATTAGGGAGTTAGTACAAAAATAAAAAATTCCCATCTTGGTAGATCTCCCTTGAGCCCTTAAACCTATCATAAATTAACACAAGAAACCCTAAATTAAAATGATGTAAATAAGTTCCAAATTTTTCAAAAGATACAAATTAACTTTAAAACCCCTCGGAAGTTGTAACTTTATATTTAGCAAGGGAGAAAATGTACAAAGAAGGATGTCAACTTTATCATTTTTTTATTAATGATATAAATTTTGTTAGTTTCTAAATAAAATGATAAATTTTTAATTTTTTATTGAAAAAAGCTAACTTTGATTTTTTTTTTATTTAAGAATTAATTGAAGAGCTAACAAAGTCATTTACCACATTAATATCACCATTTAATTAATTTTCAAATAAAAAAATGTAAAATCAATACCTCTAAATAAAAAAATTTAAAATTTATTATTTTATTCAAAAACAAACAAAAATTATACCTTTAAAGAATAAATAATAAAATTTCTATTTACTTAGGAGTGTATAGTTTGAACATTAAATATCCAATTTGGTATCTTAACTTTTAATTTTAAACTGAATCTACTCCTAAACTTTAAAAAGTACCAAAACTATACTTGAAATTCAATTTTTAGAATCAATTTGGTTGTTCTGCCAATGGAAGTGCTAGATGACATGTTAAATTGCTATGAAATTAGTTCTTATTTTAAACCTTTAATGACGTAGAAAATAACTTACTCATTGCTTGCCACCATGACATTTTTATTGTCCAAGTTAGATCCTTGCTACTTTCACTTTTCCCTTTAGGTGGGCCCCACCTCAATGTTTTTATTTCTATATTTTCTAAGATTTTCTACTCTAATTTTCCTTCACTTTCCTATGAACTACTAAAAAAAAATTCATCTCGTCTAAAATTAATATCAAACCTCACTACTTCAAACTATCAAACCTTCTACGAACCCATTAAATTCAAATGGTTAAAATCCCTTTTGGGTTCCCAAATTATTGTACGGATCCCTGATTTAGTCCTTAAACTAAAAAAATTTCTGATTTGGTCCCTACTGTTTACCCATTTTACCCCAACTTGGTCCTTCCGTTAAAAATCGTCTGTTAACTCACAGACATATCAAAAATTTAAGACACATCAGTTGTCCAACTGGCTAAATGATGACATGGTCATACCCAACACAAAAACAAAAGTGGGGCCCACCAAATTACAATTTTGCATCATCTTCTTCCTCCAGCATCTTCTTTTTCAAATCTTCCTTCATTCAGACAATCAATTCAATCAAACAATCAATTCAATATTGAACCCAACAGGTTCCCTTTATTTTTCCTTCCTCTTCCTTACCTTGCCTTCTTCATCTTAATCAAACAACCAAACCCACAAAAAAAAAAAAAAAAAAAGAACAGAAATTTTTTTGCCCCTGGATTCGAAGGAACCCAGCTCTTGGGTTCTCAAAGGAACCCAGTGCCTGGGTTCGAGAAGAAATCCAGCGCCTGAGTTCGAGAAGGAACCCAACGCCTGAGTTCGAGAAGGAATCCAGGCGCTTGGGTTCGAGAAGGAACCCAGGCGCTTGGGTTCGGGAAAAGACCCAACGCTTGGGTTCGAGAAGGAACCAAGGCACCTGGGTTCGAGAAGAAACCCAGCACTTGGGTTCTTTCTCGAACCCAAGGCTTGGGTTCCTTCTCGAACCTAAGGGCTTGGGTTCTCGAAGGAACCTAGTCGCCTGGGTTCGAGAAGAAACCCAGCGCTTGGGTTCTTTCGAGAACCCAAGCACTGGGTTCGTTGGAGAACCCAAAAGCACCTATGCCTTCGATTGCTTGCTGGGTTTGAAATCGAACCCAGCACCTATGCCTTCCTCATCTTCATTCACCTGCAAAAACCCAACGGCTGCCTTTCCTTCTTCATCAATCAATTTCTCATATCATCAAACAACAAAACCCAAACAAAGAAAACATAAATTTCCTTTTTTTTTTTGGAACCCAAGGCTGGGTCTTAAGGAACCTAGTGCCCAGGCATGCTGGGTTCGGTGGAACCCAGGCATGCTGGGTTGCGTTAAACCCAGGCCACGCTTGGGTTTGAAGGGGAAAGAGAAGGGGAATGGGAAGGGGAAGGGGAAAGGGAAAAGGAAAGAGAAGAAATTTTTTTTTTTTTAATTTTATTTTTCATAATATTTTTTTATATTATTATTTTTTACATGTCATCATTTTTTTGGTCTTATTGTCTTCCATATCATCCTTTTCCCGTCAAGTAACAAGACACGTAAGCGGATATTTAACGAAATGATCAAATCGAGGTTAAAATGGTAAACGTAGGGACCAAATTAGGGATTTTTTTAGTTTAGGGACCAAATCGGGGGTCCGTAAGATAGTTCAGGGACCAAAATGAGATTTTAACCAATTTTAATCTCAAAAAGCACTAGTATGTTAAGAACTTATTGTTTTGAGCTATCAACCCTGCCACAAAAACTTCAAATTCAAACTTTAAAAAGTATAACTAGTATAAGGAATTAAAAAACTGTCAAAGAAAGAGTATGAAGACTAAAAAATCTATGAAATTATCTTCCAAATTTCATAATAAACTTAGTGTTTTTCACTAAGAAGACATCACTTTTTTTTAGGAATTTTGCATACAAAGAACAAACCGAAATCTAGATATCAATATAAAGCAAATCTTAGTCCCACTAGCCAAGTTTAGGATAGGAGAACTTGATCAGTTGAAAGATCAATTGAAAAAGTTCACAAATCAATTGGCTTTTCATGGGATAGATCATTGACAGACCTTTGCAACATTGAAGATATTGAATTTATGACAAAACCTAAATGAAATAACAATTGAAACTTGAAAATGAATTCTAAATTAATTTGTAGAAATTAGATAATATGCTTGCTAAATTTCACATTTTCGAGAGCAATGGTGATTTTTGAGAACCTAGGTCTAGGTTCCTAGAAAAACGAGAACCTAGAACCCAAAACCCAAATAATTTTTTAAGAACCTAGGTCTAGGTTCTTGGTAGATCAAGAACCTAAAAACCAAAACCCAAATAACAGAGGAAGAAGAAGAGGAGGAGGAAGAAAAGATGAGGAAGAAAAAGAGGGGGAGAATTTGTGACCCTTGACCTCACCAATAAAACCCACCATCGGAGAATTTGCTACCCGATCCTTGCATCTCCTTCTTCTTCTTCATCACTCTACACTCCAAGTTATTGCCTAGTTGCCAAATCTCTTGAGCCACTCTCATTTAAGCCCAATCACCTATGAACTTGAATGAGAGAAAAAGAAATCAGTGAATGCGAAGAGAAATAGAAGAAAAAAAGAGGAACGAAAGTAGAATTTGAGGAACGAGATGAGGCTAGTTTTGTAATTTTATTTAGGTTAAAATACCAATTTGGTCTCTCAAATTTTGATGTGAACAATAAAAATACCACGATGACATGTAATGGCTAAGTTATTTTCCACATCATTATTAAAGGTTTAAAACAAGAATTGATTTTGTGGCAACTTAACATGCCATTTGGCATTTTTGTCAATGGAAGGACCAAATTGGTCCTAAAAATTGAAATTCAAGGATAGTTGGTGTTTTATAAAGTTGAGGGTAGATTTGGTTCAAAAATGAAAGTTGAGGGACCAAATCGGGTATTTAACCTAGTTTAAACCAACCGAATAAGTTAAAAAAAAATTGAAAAAAAAAAGGAAAGAAAGAAAACAGACCTAGTCTCGGCCAGGTTCTGACGAGCAACAAAAATGGACCACACGCAGAGATCAGGTGCAGCGGCGACGACTACGGCCGCCAATTCTCGTGCCTATCAGTTCCACCCGGCACGAGCACCTATTATCGATCTATTCAACCTCTACTTGGGAGTAAATACTTTTGTTCTTACCCGCTGTTGTCTTGAATTTTCTTCCGTTTTAATACAATATCATAAATTTGAGTTCGTTTCATTTGCAGAGAAATAGCCGCCAAAATCCTGATGATCCTGCCCGGGAACCCCCGTAAGTCTCTTCCTTCATCGATTTTTTTTTCCCATTTTGAATCCTTTTTCTTTTCAGTTTAGCTGTAGTTAATTTGTGAAGAAGAATATATTTTCAGTTACAAGGTTGTGCTTGGACTTTTGTTTTCTTTCTCTTTTCCTTAAAAGAACAGAATGATTTTACATGGGTATAAATTTTAAATATTAAGTCAATTTGATAAACATTTATCCGTACAAGTAAAATAGTTCAATACAGTGAGAGAAAAGAGAAGTAAAGGTACTATATTTCGTGTTGGAAATTTAACTTTTGATAATCCTATTGGTAATTTTAGTTTGCTTTTACATAATCTTCCAGGAATAAGACGCAGAAGCGTGTGCTTGCTCTTAATAGAGAGCTTCCTCCTCGAAATGAGCAGTTCCTTTTGGACTTTCAGCAGCTTCAAGGTCAATTTGGTGTAAGTTTTGGGAATGCTAACCCCATTTCGGCATCATGTGCTTTTCTTTCATTCAACTAGTCAATGGCAACAGGGTCTTAATGATGATTCTTTTTCCTTCCTTATTTCAAAGTTGGTGCTTTGTCATCCTTGCAGGAGCAGGATCAAGTGTGTGCTGTGACAGAATCTGTTCTTATATCTTTGGTTGTTCAGTGTTGTGGTCATGCACCACGTGCAGAATTTCTTATTTTTGCTTTACGAAGCTTGCACAGTATAGGATACATTAACTGGGATACTTTTCTGCCCTCCCTTCTCTCTTCAGTTTCCACTGCAGAGATGTCGGTGGGTCAGGCAAGTCAGACAATGCCTTCTGTATGTTCTACAAGTTTATCGCAGTCTGGAATGATGCCATCTTCAACTGTGATCCCTAATTCTTCTAATTTTCAGACTTCAAATCCTGTTTCTCCATTAACTTCAGTTCATGGTATTGGTTCCCCAGCCCCGTCAGCAATTGAACCATCATCTACTGTAACTTTATCTCCTGTGAAAGCATCTGACATTTCCTGCAATGGACAACAGCCTATAACTAGGATAAATTCATCCATCAGAGATAATGCTGTAAGCAGTCTACGCCAGCTTTGTTGTAAGATCATTTTAACTGGTCTTGAATTTAATTTGAAGCCAGTGACTCATGCTGAAATTTTCTACCATATGCTTAACTGGCTGGTAAATTGGGATCAGAGGAGACAACAGGGGTTTGATGAATGTGATGGTAAGTCTTGGAGACCTGATAATGCTCTAATTGAATGGCTGCACAGCTGTTTGGATGTAGTTTGGCTATTGGTTGAGGAAGATAAATGCCGTGTTCCCTTTTATGAATTACTGAGAAGTGGATTGCAATTTATAGAGCACATACCAGATGATGAAGCCTTGTTTACACTTATTCTGGAAATACATAGGAGGAGAGACATGATGGCTATGCATATGAAAATGTTAGATCAACATCTTCATTGTCCTACATTTGGTACTCATCGGTTCTTGTCCCAGACAACTCCTAATGTTTCTGTTGAAGCTGTAGCAAACTTGCGGTATTCACCAATCACATATCCGAGTGTGCTCGGAGAACCATTGCATGGAGAGGTAACAATTTTATAAGAAATTATCATGAGTTTATGTTATGTGCTTAATTATGGAATGATATAACATCACTGAGGTAAATAGGAATATAATTGGCAGTGTGTGTGGTGATTTATTATGTGTTCATGCTTTTAGATGTTCTCTCCGATGTTCTTTCCTAAATATTCTATTTTACTGTATAACAGTAATCGGTTACCTAGTACTCTAGTAGGATATTATGTATTCACGGCTTTAGATGTTTTCTCTGATGTTCTTTCCTAAATATTCTATTTTAATGTATAACAGTCATTACTTACCTTGTAGGATAAGAATTTGCTTCTGTCAGTCAATGTCTTCTCTTTTATTTAAATGCAACATAACTGTTACTTTGTTAATAATATGCTTTTAGAAATAGTCTTTACCATGTAGTCCAGGAATTGATGGTTATAATCAGTGATCTATATTTTTATGTTTTTTCCCTCTGTAGACATATGCAATCAGGAAGGTATACAAACATTGATGTGGTTGAATGTTATGTGTACAGATGCAATGTATATCCTCTATGATTGTTTCCTTTGTTAAATATTCTATTTTTCTTTTCCCTTTTGTGTGTGTAATGGAAGCATTTTAATTTGTGGAAGATGATATTATGGTCCATTGTTTTCTTTCAAAGGGTGGTTTTGTGGTAATTGTAGAATACATTTATGAATGCATTTACAGATGCATAATGCATACATGCATGCATATTGACATTTACAGATGGATGCATGCATATATATGACAAGCTTGGATGATGCATTTGGATTTATTTGTGTATTTGTTTGGATCTTTAGGTTCTGTTCTATTAAGCACCTATATCTAGTTATCTGTGTATATTGGTGTATGAGCAAGTGCATATAATGGGTTCCAAAGTTTGGTTTAATTGGTTTCTTTTGATGCATTAGGATCTTGCAGTGTCTATCCAGAGAGGAGGTCTGGACTGGGAGAGAGCATTACGTTGTATAAGGCATGCTATACGTTCCACTCCTTCACCTGATTGGTGGAAACGTGTTCTTCTTGTGGCACCTTGTTACCGAAATCCTTCTCAAGGTCCTACTCCTGGTGCTGTTTTTACCTCTGATATGATTTGTGAGGCAACTATTGATAGAATTGTTGAGCTGTTGAAGTTGATAAATTCAGGTGATAAACTCTTCCTAAAATTTATTTGTTTATACAACAAAATAATCAAAGACGATGACTGCCTCTATGTTAATCATGCTTAGCTAATTCAGTGCATCCAATTACTATTATCAATAGCAGTGCATATTCAATGCTGCGAGATGCATTTTAGAAGTGACACTTTCAAAACTGTAATATTGTTTAGTTTCTTACACTTTGTAGTTTTTAATTTCTAAATGCAGATGTAAATTGCTGGCAAGAGTGGCTTGTCTTCTCAGATATATTCTTCTTTCTTATGAAAAGTGGCTGTATTGATTTTGTTGATTTTGTGGATAAGCTGGTTTCACGCCTTTCAGAGGGGGACCAACAAATTCTTCGAACAAATCATCTTACCTGGCTGCTTGCACAAATTATTCGCGTTGAGCTTGTGATTAGTGCTTTGAATACTGATCCTAGAAAGGTTTTCTGCAAGATATAAAAATTTCAATGCCTTTACTTTGTTCAAAATGGACCAACATTATAAAATTTTGGGATATGCATGCATAACCCTCTTAAAATTTGCTCCATTTGACAATCCAAACTTTTCATCTATTAATCTTTCAATAGACACCATTGTAGCCAATGTGAGCAACCATCACTTTTCTTTCCCTCTCTTTGCCTCCTTTCTTATTTCTTCCCAATTTTTCTTCTGCTCTTCTATGGTTATGGCTTGGGGACTACTTCTTGTTGTTTGTCTGCAGTGGAGATGGTGAAAAGCTGGTAGAGAGGATGTGAAAGGGGTTCCTGAAGTTCTTTTTGGCCATTTCCCTTTATTTTCTATTAGTCTTGTTCATGTTGCTTATTAGCTGTATTTACTTTTAGTTGATGTACATTTTAGGGCATATTTTTATTTTGGTCATACCTTGTCTGTACCTGCATTGGTTGTTTGTTTTGACCATGTTCCTCTTCATCAATTATTTGGTCATTTGAGTAAATTTTATAGTTGTTTTTTTGAACTTAGGCTCTTGTTCTTCTGCTGACAGGTGGAAACAACCAGAAAAATTTTGTCATTTCATAGAGAAGATAGGAGTTCTGATCCCAATAATCCACAGAGCATCCTGCTTGATTTTATTAGCAGTTGTCAAAACTTGCGAATTTGGTCATTGAATACGTCAACCAGAGAATACTTGAATAGTGAGCAGCTGCAGAAAGGAAAGCAAATAGATGAATGGTGGAGACAAGTGAGCAAAGGTACTTATCATTCCTTTCATTCTTTTCTATTAGAATTGAGTTTATTTGATAATGCAGCTCTTTCTAGAAGTTTCAGAGAATATAATTTTATGAATGTCCTTCATGTAATATTTATTACTTCAGCTTGTTAGTTCATGGCATTTTGGAAATATTCTTTTATATATCTATATATGAGTTAGGATCTATTTGCACACAACTCTTACACACATCACTTACACAAAATCTTTACCTTTCCATTCTCCACTTTGAATGGTTGAGATTTATCATGACTTTTTAGATAAAAAAGACAATTATCTTCAAAAAGTAGGACAGAAAGTGGATAAAAAGTGGTTTAACAACTTTATCACCTGCTAGGAGGATCGCACCATTTGAGAAGCTGCCCTTCTAGAGGTGGATATCTAGGCATATGTCTGCCTTGTGCCATGTGCTAATTCAGTGCTGGCCCTTGTACCTAAAAAAAAAAAAGGGTGGATAAATCTCAGCCATGGAGAGATGAATGGTTGAGATTTTGTGTAAATGATATGTGGAAGAGTTGTGTGTAAATGGAGAATATATATGGGTTTTTCTAACATCTGCTCTAAGGGTGCATTTATTGTACCTTTTTACCATTAATTTGTATGGAAAATTGCAAAATTAGACTCTATTTTCAAAGGCAATGCTAGGTTGAACATTTTAATTGGATGGTTGATAATACTAAAGTCAACTTTTATTTGTTTCATACAAATTAATGGTGAAAAGGTACAATAAGCCTTGACCTATGCCTAACAGGTTTGAAAATTCCTATGTATAGATTTTCTTCGCCTAAGACAATGGGCTTGTCTCAAAGTTCAAAAAACAATCACATTTAGACTTCTAATTGCAGATTGCTGTTATGTGCTTTTTTTTTTTTTTTTGTTTTTCTTTTGGAAAGAGGTTGTGTGTTTGATTAAGTAATGAAAATCAGATGCTTGAGAAATATATCAGAAATATTCCATCCAGTAATCATCCTGTAAATCTCATCTTTTCTTGAGCATGATAGTTAAAACGTATTACTTCTCTGTTAATGTCAAACATGGTTAAAGCATTTGCATTAGTTAATTAATTAATTTATTTATTTATGTATTTATTAATTTTTGTTTTTTGTTTTGCTTTTCCCAGCAAGATGAAGACATGACTTAAGGAAGTCTGAATATTTGTATTATTTGGTTTAAATTTTTTATGGAAAGGATAAATAATTTGATTGAAACTATAAAAATCAAGCAACTAGGTCTATGTGCAGCTTTATAAAGAGAGTTTTTATTGGATACTTGTAAAGCAAACAGGATTAATGTTTGGGAATAAAAAATAGGTTTAAAAGGTGGTTTGGTTGGTCTAACTTTTTTGGCAGCTGGTTTATGGTCATCATTATATGCTATAGGCAGATAGAAGTGGAATGGAAAAAATTATGTGGTTAGGGGAAAAGAGTTTGTGAAAAAGGAAGATTTAAAATATAGTTAGAAAGTTGAGAGAAGAAGCAACAAACCACAAAGGCCAACTGGCCAAGCCACAAGACCTGGCAATTAAGCTTGGAGAGGTAATATTTTATCATTATTTGTTGCTCGGCTATAAGGATTCTATTTTCTAATACTTGTATCGTATAAATCTCCCATTAGGGACTATATAACAATCACTGGCCTTCAAGCCAATATAAGCAATTTACTATAGTAATGCAAAAGAAAAGCTACTATCGTGACAAGTATAAGGTTTCTGCTCCACAAGTTTCAAACTCTGATAGATATTAGACTTGCTCAGTTTTGAACCTGGCCATTGGGAATACCCAGCTTTGCCTCATGTTGGGTGTAGAAGCCACATTGAATCATCCTAGGTTTGTCAAGGAGGGGTGGGTCTAGTTGGCAATGCCTTATGAGGTCCTTGGTTACCTAAAAAAGAAAGGCATAAGACTTGAGTGAATGAGTTTAATTTACCATTGAGATATGTCCTTGTTTTGACCAAAAGTTGTTCTTAATTCCAATGGGTGTAGCTTTGACGTTATAGCTTGTGTTATAGGTCATGTTAAACTGTGACATCACATTAGGGAGTGACTGCAGTTCCAAATATCTATTTTTCCCAAATAAACTAGAAAAAGTGAGCAGCCATTTATGAGAGCTGTGGTGATTAGGACTCTAGGCAGATTGAGCATGCCCCAAAAATATTTCTTGAACGCTTAGGTAAGTTTGCCTTGTGTAATCACACTTATGGACACGTGTCTATGCAAACAACCGTGCTTGATCACAAAGGACCCTGGTAGGTCTTTGATATTGTGAGGCAAGATGAGGTACATGGCAAATTGTAAACTGTGACTCATTGGTTGATGATCTCAATGTGTGGCTTTACCTACATGATCAGTAGATTGTGATACTATTGATGTGAGGTCAAAATAGTAGTACCCATTACACGCACAAACATAAGCTAAAAAAATTCTTTAAGAGTTATACTCTTCACCATTCTCTTGTAGTTGAAGATAGAACATACTTAGAACCTGTTTGGTTTGGTTGAAACTTTCATAAAGTGAAGCTCAAACTAATGTTTGTCAATACACAAGTTGAAATGCAGAAAGTAGTTTGAATAGTATTTTTGAGTAAGTGGAAAAAATTTTCAATTTGCATAAGCATACAAGGAATTTTTTACTTTATTTTTTATTGGGTTGATTTAGTTACAAAACTTTTATAAAAATCCATGAAGTCTATATTAAATTTCCACAAGCTCATCAGTATTATATATAAATGAACTTAAACTCCATGTCTTTCAATTAGCCAAATAAAAAAAGGGAAATTACACTTACTCCCCATGTGATTTGGGGTGGATGCACTTACTCCCAAACGACGAAAAATGTGCTTGTGATGTGAAAAAGGTGCACTTAACACCTAATTCTATTAATTATTGAACGTAAAATGTCAAAACTACGAAGGGTCAAGTGTACATCTTCCAAACCACATGCACAACCGAAGGGTCTTTATAGAAGTTGTGAGGGATGGTGGGTTGTGGACCTTTGGTTGAGTCCATGTGACAAGCCTAGGGGCTTGCACTTGACGGTGTGTTAAATGGAAAAATGATACATTGGTTTGTTAATATGCTGTTTGTGCAGTTTGAAACTTACTCGACAAGGAATTTTGTTACCTTGGGACCGTTGCCTTAGGATGACTGCCGTAAATCAGGGATTCGATCATTGTCTGCCCTTTCATCTGTTCATCAAATTCCTTGACCTTTGGGTGGGCATTAGCCCCCATACATGGTCTTATGTTTTTGTGGAGATGTGTTTTTGTAAATAGTTGTCCAGGTGTGGTAATTGCGACCCCCTTTGTGAACAGGCACCCTTTCTCTTGAAGTTACGGGAATGTAACTACATCTATTCCCAATTGGTTGTAGGATATGTGTTTAAAAGTGTTAAACAAGGATAAACTTATCATTAACTAGAAAAAGAATTGGGAATGACTTACTGATGTAATGATTTGTTTTTGCAAGTTGTTGGTTAAAATGAAGATGACCGAGAGATTTTATTTATATTGTCTTTGTATATAATCCAGTTTATCATTGAACATCATAATGATTTGTTCATAAATTTCAATTGACCTTATGTGCTGCATGCTTGCTCTGAAACTAGAAAAGCTTCAATATTTAGCCAGGTTCTAAAAAAAATTGGCTTCCTGCTTAAGCTAAAATAGTGTTGACTATTTGTCTACTGGCTAGATTCAGCTCTTTTTAAAACTAAGCCAAATGCTTGCTTATATTCATCAATTCCACCTGGCTGCTAAGTTCTGAATATGCTGATAAATATAATCTAGACTGGCTGTAGGCTGTGAATAAATCTAAGAATCTTCAATCTTGCACATCTTTTTGTACCTTTTATCATGTTTAATTTTCATTCAGGGGACCGCTCGATGGACTATATGAACATGGATGACAGATCAATTGGGATGTTTTGGGTTGTGTCATACACCATGGCACAACCAGCTTGTGAAACTGTAATGAACTGGTTGGTATCTGCTGGAGTTTCAGAATTGTTGCCAGGATCAAATCTACAAGCCAGTGAAAGGTTAGCAGTGATGCGGGAAGTAAGCCCCTTACCCATATCACTGTTATCTGGCTTCTCCATGAATGTTTGCTTGAAGTTGGTCTACCAAATGGAAGAATCTTTGTTTGGTGGGCAGGTACTTTCTGTGATGTTTCTTCCAATAATGAAAATTGTGTCTGGAATATAACCTTTTCACCATGTGTGTATGTTTTGATCCTTTTGGAGATGAAAACTGAATGGAAGGGGTGGTTTTCTTTCTAATGGCAATTAGGTTGTTCGTTTTAGGCAAACTTCTCTCATGGAAGTCCAACTGATATATAATGTGTACGATGTACTTAATCTTTATGAAGCAATGCTGACCAAGTTCTCAAAGAGAAAAAGAATGTAGTTGTGACTACCAGGGCCAGTTCCCTTTTTATCCTCTAAGAATGAGATGCATTTATTTAGGCTGCATGAAAATCATCTCTGGTGTTTTGGTCATGAGTTCCTCACTTATTAGGGAATTATTCTTTTGTGCTTAACTCAAATAATAAACTTTCATGCTTAATATCAGCATGTATGCTCAATGACTAGACTACTTGTACTAACAAAAGGAGCTTTAACAGATAGGTAAGGTAATGATGGCCACAAAAAAAAGAAAAAAAAAAAAGAACAAACCAGATACGTAAGGTAGAATGAGTTGTTCAGAAAAAAAAAAAAAA